GGAGCCGGCGCGGCGGCTCGGGTTACCGCGGCCCAGCCCTCCCACCCGCAGCTCGGGCGCGGGGGCCCGGGCGCACTCGGGCCGTCCCCCGCTGTTTGCATTTCTCTGGCAGGCGGCGGGGCTGGGGTTGAAAGGAATCGCCTCCATTTGGAACGCTGTTTATTTTTCTTAACTAGCCAGCGCCGACAGCCGACCCCGAGAGCGCGGAGGCCGGACTCGGCCGAGCCCTCGCTGGGAAGGGGTCAGGACAGGGGGCGGCCCGACGAGAGGGGCGCTGCGAGCCCCCGCCGGGGGAATGCGCCAGGGGCCCCCGCGGCCGGGTTGGGGGAGGGTCGCTGTGGTGCGAGAACGACTTTCTGCCACGTAGGAAAACGTACTTTCTGCTCTCGCTGTGACCTTAGCTTTGACCTGGCACGAGGTAGGGCGGCGAAGTGGTTACGCTTTCCGGCTTTGGGCCGCCTTGGATTTCAGTTCCGCTTCCTCCATTTTTAGCTCCATGACCTTGAGCAAGTCGTTTTTGTGACTCAGTTTCCTCTGTTCTCAAATGGGTATAACGTAGTGCTTAGCTCTTTGAGTTGTGAGGATTAAAGGAGATCATTCACAGAGACCCTTAGCGCAGGGCCCGGACCTTGCCAAGAGCTCAGGAGACGTTAGCCTCTCTTGTGGGGGCTGTGGGTGGTTATGGCTCTCTGGCCACTCGAGGGTGAGTGGGCTGGGGGCGGCCAGCAAGCGTGCGGCCCACAGGGAAGGGGCTTGAGTTGGGGGCCCACGACTCGCGAGCTCCGGGGAGAGGTGCCGGCTGGGGAGAGTTCTGAGCGTTTTGACATGAAATGAATAAAATGCAAATGATATTCAAAGCAAGATGCTAATGAGGCTCTATTCTTTGAGCGTCCGCAGCCCGGCTAGTGCCCAGAATAGTGGCGGGGCTGGTGTGAACTCAGGGATGGGCAGGGTCCAGCAGCCCAGGTCTCAGGGGTGTGTGTGAGTGTGAGTGTGTGTGTCGGCGCGCGCCTGCTCCGGAATGTGCGTAGCCGGCTCCGGGTGTGCTCGCGCCGACATGAAAATGAGGTCAGGGAAGGTCGTTCCACTCTGCAGCATAAATCAAGGAGGAAAGGAGAATGGATGTGAGAGACAGTCCCTGGAGACCGCCCCGAGAGAGGCAGAGCGAGGGAAGAGGGAGGGGGGAAAAGTTCTGCGGAGAATGGACGAGAAGCGGGCCCAGGCTCTCGCCCTCCCTGCGCTTCCCGCCCCGGCGGGTCCCTTCGCGGAGCAGCGGTGCCCAGACTCAGACGAGATCGCGCCCTTAATCCCCCATCCTCCTCCCCAAGCTCACAACACCTTTTTCTCTTTTCCCTCCCGATCTAAATGTTCTGGGTCTAAGCGCTCTTTGTGTGAACAGTGAAGCTCGTTGCACTCACCATCCTTAGGAGCATGTAAGTGCCCACGCGCACCCGCTAGTTGCACACGTAATTGCACACTTGTTACTCGCGCGCACAACCGCGGGGCTCGCTAGGGCGCCCTGCGGGGTTCCGAACCAAAGAGGCGGCTGCTGTCGGCTATCCTCCAGCCGGCGACTCCGGCCCGCGCGCATCCTTTCTCCACACTGTCTGCCTCCCGGGTCTCGCTAACGCCCACTTACCAACCGCCTCCGGCCCCTCTTGCTCTTCGCCTTCCGCGGGCCGCCGGAGGAGCGCAGTGCTCCAGGCTCGTGTTTCCCTGCGCGCTGTCCTGTGACCCCAGCCGGGAATCGCCGGAAGCTTGGGCCGCCTTGGGCCGGCACCGAGGCACAAGACCTGGGCGACCTGGCTCTCAGGGAAAGAGGGACCAGTGTGGGAGAGCCCGGGATGGGAGAGGGAGAGGGGCATCCCTCCTCCTTCCCCTGCGTCTTAAGACTCCGGGCCCACGGGGCTGAGTGGGGGCAGGGGACAGGGCGGAGGAACCGCCGCCCCCTCGCTCCTATCTCGCGCCCAGAGTGATTTGCTCTTCGCTGGCACCATGGCTACCTGCCGCTCCAGGAATGGGAAGAGAGCAGGGAAGAGATGGACGACGCCGACGTCTGCGCTTTGGGCCCAGATCAGATTTATTTCCCGCCTCATTCTCTTTATGACAGTGATGCCTAAAGCCTGTATAGTGGGCGCTAAATAGACGCACAGGAATATATATTGAGTTAAATTTACAAAGAGCTGTCACCATCGCGATCTGTCCTGGGCCTCCACATTTTGTAGATTAATTCATTAAGTCATGCATTCACTCAACAAATATTTAGTGGGCTCCTGCTACTTGATAGAGAAACAGGACACCAAGAGCCTGGCCCTCAGGGCACTTACATTCTCCTGGGACAGAAAGACAATAAACAGATAAGCTGAGAGACACATAATATAATGTCAGGCAGGATAGCCCTTGGCGCTGTGAAGGAAAGATAAAGCTGGGTCAGGGAGGGCCTCTCTGGGGAGGAGGCAGAGACCAGAATGAAGTGAGGGAATGAGCCAGGCAGACTTCTGGAGGGACAGCGTCCCAGGCCCAGAGAGTTGCAAATGCAGTGGTGGTGTGGGAAGTGGCTGAGGTGCAGTCTGATAGGGAGGAGAGAGGAAGGAGAAGAAATGGAAGGTCAGGCCCAGGTTTGCAGGCTGAGGTGGAGAGTTTTGGATTATATACCAGGTGTGATGGGAAGCCATTGGTGTGACATAACTTGATTTATGTTTTTAAAAATGACAGGGGCTGGCTCCGTGGCGTAGTGGTTACGTTCTCGTGCTCTGCTTCAGTGGCCCAGAGTTCACGGGTTCGAATCCCAGGTGCAGACTTGCACAGTGCTCATCAAGCCATGCTGTGGGGGGGTCCCACATACAAAATAGAGGAGGATTGGCACAGATGTTACCTCGGTGACAATCTTCCTCAAGGAAAAAGAGGAAGATTGGCAACAGATGTTAGCTCAGGGCCAATCTTCCTCACCAAAAAAAAAAGACAAACCAAAGAGAGAATTTAACTAACCTGCCCATGGTTTCCAGGTTTGTGAGTTTCTTAGTCCAGATCTCCAGATATGCCCCAGTCTGCGTCAAATATGAGCGCTTAGGCAAGACTGCCCCAGAAGGGGTCTGGGAGATGTCTTGAACAGTACTCTATCCCTCCCACTCATACTTTTAGGAAGGTGTCCAGAATGGGACAGTGGGTAGGGTTTCTAAATCTGCCAGCTCTGGAATCTGGGCTGTGGGTGAGGACTCCAGGACCCCTAGCCTGAGGCTCTCGCGTGTTTCCACTTCCTGACTCCCCACCCCACCTGCTTCCCTTGCTCTACCTGTCCTGGGCCTTTTCCGGGCCGCGGAGACAGTGAGGGTTACTCCACAAAGGAAGGTAAGATCCAGTCTCTCTGACGCTCTGACTCGGTGGCTCCTGGGACTGCGGAATTCTTTTCCCCAGCGTGAGTCTGGTTGTGCCGCAAGCCGGCACCATGGTCCTACACCGCTTCCCGGTGGCCAAGGAGGATACTGCAGCCAGAGTCCGTGCAAGATTCAGAATTGTGCCAGGAACCGCACGGTGCGCAGGAACAGGCTTATTGATGGCCTGCCAGGTGCCAGGTGCAGTGCAAGGCACTTCACTTACTTTATTTAACCATCAGAGTAACTCTGGGGAGAGAACTGTCATTTCTGTCACTATATAGACAAGGAAACTGAGGCCAAGAGAGGCAATGTACTTTGTCTAAGAACATATAGCTAGTAAGAAGCAGAGTGATCTGCTCACTTTCACACTGTCTCTTGGTGCATATACGGTGTGAGAAGAGGGAAATATTGGCCTCCACCCTAGGAAGCTCTCCTTCTCCTTGGCCCTGAAGAATCATCTAGAAAATGTCTTTAGCAGGTGCACCGAGCTTCCAAATCCATCTCCGGGAATGTTCCAAGGTCCTTCCCCCTCCTCCCTGAGTCTGTTTCAGATGGGTCCACGGTCTGCAGGTTGAGACCAGTTCAGGAACAGCTGCTTATCTTTGTCTTGCATGCTGCATGACTGGGGTGGCCAGGAGTCTCTGTCCCCTGTCTGAGGTTCAGGCTCCTCCCTGACGGTGAAGAGCAAGGTGCTCTGAGTGGGGAGATCCTGCAACCTGAGATGGCACGAAAGATGGGGAGGCAGGGGATGATCACATTGAGCGGACATAACGCTCCTTCCCCATCTTTAGTCCCAAGGTCTCAAGACCTCTGCTTGGCACTCGGGATCCCTCTTTATCAGGCATTGGGAATACTCAAGCTGGTTTTGCCCCTGAAGCCGTCGGGGTGGGCAGAGGACTCGTGGGCAGAGCACCTCCCCCTTCACCGAGATGCTGCCCGCGGAGCTGGGAACGGTTCTCCATCCTCTGCTGCCCCCTAGTGGGCTAGAATATGGCTGCCGCCGCCAGCCTCCTTCCCAGCGCGGGGCAGCCACCTTCCTGTCATCTCACCTTTCTTCCTTGGACAAATGCTCCTTCCCAGACACCAAACAGGTTTCCCCGGGAGAGAGATATGAGACTTCTGGAAAGGTTTGGCTGCAGAACATCTCAGAGCTATGTCCACATAACACCAGGATCATTACCCTCAACAAACATTTAATAAGAGCCCACCATGCACTGGCCCTGTGAGGGATGAGGAAGTCTCCCTCCCCTCCCCCGCCTGCCCCCTCTTAGGCCTTGGGCAGGAAGGGCTCACAGTTTAATAGGGAAGACAGACACAAAATGACTCCTACAATCATTTGTTTAAAAGCTTTTAACTTTTAAATAATTATTTCATAGGAAGATTCATAGCAAGTTCGAAGACCATACAGAGAAGTCCCCAGTACCCTTCCAGAGCATGTGTAGATACTGGAAACCACCACTGTGGTCAAGACACAGACTATTCCAGCACCACAAAGATCTCCCCCATGCTCCCCCTTTATAGTCACACCCACCCTCCCTCTCCCAACATTCTTAACCACTGACAACCATTCATGTGTTTTCCATCTCTATAATTTTGTTGTTTCCAGAATGTTCCATAACTGAGTCATACAGTATGTGACCTTTTGAGACTGTCTTTTTTTCACTCTGAAAAAATATTGAGATCCCTCCAAGTTGTTTCCTGTATCAATAGTTCATTCCTTTTTATTGCTGAGTAGTATGCCATGGATGTGTCACAGTTCATCTGTTGAGGGACGCTTGGGTTGTTTTCAGTTTTTGGCTATTACAAATGAAGCTGCTATGAACAGTCATGTCCAGGTTTTTATGTAGACATAAATTTTTATTTCTCTGGGATAAATGCCTAAGAGTGCAATTGCTGTTTCTTCTGGTAAATGTATGTCTAGTTTTTTAAAGAAACTGCCAAACTATTTTCTGGAGTGGCTTACCATTTACATTCCCACCAGCAATGTATGAGCAATCTTGTTTCTCTTCATCCTCCCCAGCATTTGGTATTGTCACTATTTTTAATTTTAGCTATTGTAATCGGTGTGTAGTAATATCTCATCATAGTCTTCATTTGCATTTCCCTAACGGCTGGTGATGCTGAACATCTTCTCATGGGCTTATTTGCCATTGGTGAAATGTCTGCTCTTGTCTTTTGTCCATTTTCTAATTAAATTGTCTATTTTTTTACTGTTGAGTTTAAGTGCTGTTTATATATTGGAGATATGAGCCCTTTGTCAGATGTGTGGTTCGAAATATTTTCTCCTACTGTGTAGTCTGTCTTAGTATCCTCTTAACAGGGTCGTTTGCAGAGCAAAAGTTTTTAATTTTGATGAAGTCTATTTATCGATTTTTTTTCTTTTATGGATTGGGTCATGCTTTTGGTATCATGTCTAAGAACTCTTTACTAAGCTAAAGATTTTCTCCTATGTTATCTTCTAAACTTTTACAGTTTTATGACTTACATTTAAATCTTACTCCATTTTGAGTTAATTTTTTTTATAAGGTGTGAGGTTTAGGTCAAAGTTCTTTTTTATTTTTCTTATGGATATCCAATTGCTCCAGCATCGTTTGTTGAAAAGACTATACTCCCTCCACTGAATTGCGTTTGAATGTTTGTCAAAAACCAGTTGGTCATACTTGTGCGGCTCTATCTCTGGGGTCTCTATTCTGTTCCCTTGAGCCCATCACCAATACCCCATAGCTGTGATTACTGTAGCTATGTAAGTCCTGCAACTGCGTAGACAGATTCCACCCTTTCTATTCTTTTTCAGAATTGTTTTAGCTCTTCTAGTTCCTTTACCTTTCCGTATAAGTTTTAGAGGAATCCTGTCTATGTCTACAAAGAAAAATCTTGCTGGGATTTTGATAGGAATTGCATTAAACCTGTATATCAATTTGAGGGGCACTGACGTCTTTACTATGTTAAGTCTTCCAATCCATGAATGCTTCATTTATTTAGATATTTTTTGGTCTCTTTCATTAGTGTTTTGTAGCTTTCAGCATACAATTCCTGTACATTTTGTTAGCTTTGCATCTAAGTATTTTATCTTTTGTGAGTGATTGTAAAAGTTGTTGTATTTTTAATTATGATTTCCATGTGTTTATTGCTAGTATATAGAAATACAGTCAATTTTTTTTTTCGTGAGGAAGATCAGCGCTGAGCTAACATCTGATGCCAATCCTCCTCTTTTTTTTTGCTGAGGAAGATTGGCCCTGAGCTAACATCTGTGCCCATCTTCCTCTACTTTATATGGGACGCCGCCACAGCATGGCTTCACAAGCAGTGCTTTGGTGCACACCCAGGATCCGAACCGGCGAACCCTGGGTCGCTGCAGCAGAGCACGTGCACTAAACCGCTTGTGCCACCGAGCGGGCCCCTACAGTCAATTTTTTTTTGTGAGGACG